GCTAAACAACCCCAGTTCCCTCAGCCGCTCCTCATAAGACTTGTTCTCCAGACCCTTCACCAGCCTCGTTGCCCTTCTCTGGACACGCTCCAGCACCTCAACGTCCTTCTTGTAGTGAGGGGCCCAAAACCGAACACAGTGTTCGAGGTGTGGCCTCACCAGTGCCGAGTACAGGGGCATGATCACTTCCCTACTCCTGCTGGCCACACTATTTCTGATACAGGCCAGGATGCCATTGGCCTTCTTGGCCGCCTGGGCACACTGCCGGCTCATGTTCAGCCGGCTGTCGACCAGCACCCCCAGGTCCTTTTCTGCCAGGCAGCTTTCCAGCCACTCTTCCCCAAGCCTGTAGCGCTGCATGGGGTTGTTGTGGCCGAAGTGCAGGACCCGGCACTTGGCCTTGTTGAACCTCATACAGTTGGCCCGGGCCCATCGATCCAGCCTGTCCAGGTCCCTCTGCAGAGCCTTCCTACCCTCGAGCAGATCAACACTCAAGAATAGACTGACGCTGCCTACACAGTCTCATTCTGTGCCCCAGAGCGGCAAGGCAGGGCACAGCAGGTAGGTGAAACCTCAAGTACGGAAACCAAACAAAACCCCCAAATACTGGGCACTGCAGTCAGTGACTACGATACTCTACCTTGCAGAAAGAGACCCTTTTCTCCAAGTGTTGGACCTACCTCAAATCCCAAGTTCACAGTTTCCACTAAAATTCATACAGATCACATTTCAGGATTGTAAGACAACTAATCAGAAATATCTTGTTGACTATTTATTCATTTCCTTCTTCATGTGCCATTTATTATCTGCTTACCTTAAAGAAACCATGTTTCCTGTTTCTCTGTCCAAGCCATAAATTGCTTTCAGGTGTCAAATTCATTTCTGGGGGATCAATGATGCGTTCATAAATCCTGTAGAGGAAATACATTGCCATTACTTGAATCCTCTTTTTCCTCTGAAAAGTTCCTAGCAAAAATCAGTTAGCGATAAAATATGGAAAGTAGAACCAAAAAAAAAATTTCATTAAAACACAATATTTATCATTGATAGTTTTGAAGGTTTATTACAACTTTAAAAGCAAAAAAAAAAACCCAAACAGGAAAAAAACACTATTAAAACCACTAACATATGAAGACTGCATAAAATTGAACCTCCCCTTGTGCAACTGTGCAGCACTAGGCTGAAGAAACACAATGGCAGAACCCACCATAGTAGGGAAAACAATAAAACGGGACCATTCTAGCCCAGGGGTGTCCTTCAAACTCAACTACCCATTCTGGAGAAAAAGTACAGTCACAAACAAGATCCAACCAGAGAAACAACCCTTTGGGATTTTCAGACTGTTTAGAATTTTGAATAGACTTCACAAAGAAGCTTTATTCCACCTCTACTCCCATGGCCTTTTTGTCTCTACATTTGTGTTACTCATCCCTGCACCTGAACCTTTCCTTTTATCCACTTCGCCCGTTTGCTGCTGTTACTAAATTTACTAGTCCTCGGTGCCCACGTGTGCTGCCACTACTGCACAGCCAGCTTGCCCGTGTCACTGGCACAGGTCTGGTACAGAATGGGACCTCTTTGGATATGTTTGGTACCTAGCACTACAGGGACGTTTTCTTGGTTATTCTTCAAGGAACTAGAAATAATAGCAGTAAGAAATAACAGTGACAAGAAGTAACCTGAGGTCCATAAGCAAACTTTATGTACTGCATAAACTTGCACATGAATGCAGTCGTCTACATACCGAATTTCAAAAATTGAGTCATGAAAAATTGCTGTAACACAGCATTTTAAAATTCACAAAAATCTGGAATTTTAAAAAGGTTTTGCTTGGGTTTTTTATTTGTTTATTTTTAGGAAAGCTGTAATGAAGTTTCCGTAACACCTTTTTCAGGAACTCAGACCACTACAACAACATCATCATTTCAGAATATGAAAAATTCAAGACCAAAGCTACTGACCCTGGATTCTCATGTTGCCATGTCACATCGGTGGGAGCCATGAACTTACTGCTTCATAACAAAAACAGCATGCTTAATAAGGATATTGAGCAGATGATGAAATATATTTCCATTACTATCCAGCTCACAGGGAGTACGTATTGCTGTGTAATCACACCAGCGTGACAGCCAATAGAAAAGACTCTGAATGTGTCAAGACCTGTAGCTTAAAGGGGTGAAATTATCTGTATGTTTAAAAGGGGTTGAACTATTTTTCTTCTTTCTTTAAAGCTATGGCTTTAAAACGAACATGAAAAATGAACACCAAAGAAAAATACAAGTCAATCAAGACAACTCATTGCACAGTTACCTTCCCATTTACACTCCAAGTGTTTCCAGCACAGGCTCACCAAGTGTAATCATAGATTTTTGTGTTGTAAGTTGCCACTCGTATTGGGTTTGCGTGGCAAGGTTTTGGTAGCAGGGGTGGGGGGGGGCTACAGGGATGGCTTCTGCGAGAAGCTGCTAGAAGCTTCCCCTATGTCCGATAGAGCCAAGGCCAGCTGGCTCCAAGATGGAC